CGGGTAGGGGAGAAACCTATTGAGGAACAGACTGCTCCTCTGCCTGTCTACATCTCTGAATCGCCCTTCCTCTGAATCTAATGTGAAACCTGTTTGTGTTCCTGAAGAGTGTCAGGAAGACTTCTAGGTACTGTTTCTTGAAGTTGCATTTGTCAAGACCTTGGCGATGACTGTGTGTGCGTAGTCACCTGCCTGTGGGTGCCAAAACCCAGATCAAAGGCCTTCTGAACATTGCACACTTTTTCTCCGTTTTACCTTCTGAGAACTAACAATTTTAGCCAAAAATGTTTTCCCAAAGTATATCTGTTGGTCGCAATCTGTTTTGGTTTTCTCCCACTGTGTGTGTGTGTGTGTGTGTGTGTGGCTAAACACTTAACAGTTTGTAATACAAAAATATTAACTTAATCAATGAATGTGTGGAATTAGTTTCGTGTAATTCAAAAAAAGTTCTTTTGAGTTTACTTTAAAAAGAAATCTGGTTGTTCTGTTCATTCCAAGTCTAATATGGCCAGCTTTCTGTATATCAGCAACTGGATCCAACACAATATCTATTTTGACCTATGTAGTAGTGAGATTGGAGAGACTATGCAATCCTCCCTTCTTGATTGTAAGACCTGATGAGCAAATAGCTACTTTCTGTGCTTTAAACTTTGGTTCTTGTTAACCATCCAGATGGCCGATCGCTAAAATTAGCAACAGTCTTTTTTTTCTGGTAACTGTGATAAAGCTGCTTGTCAGCATTCCACTTCAACTCTACTGTGAATATTGGTCCTTTGTTGGATGACTGAAGAATCATGGCACTGCCCTTCAATTTATGAATTCCAGGGGACAGGTGGAGGAAATTGTGGAAATAATATGCAGATTTGGGTGTGGAAATTATTAACCATTATTATTAACTGTATAGTATACAGTCTACACACTGTATATTATGTGACCCATACATTGGCCACTTGTTAAGGTACTGGAATGTAACTGTTCAATGATCTGTCTTCCAGTTTACTGGGTTTGGCTTTTGCACACCTCAATCAGTCTCGTAATGGCTGATCTCGAGTGAATTAGTTAGTAAATTGAAATACAAACTGGCCGTGATCTAATTAAATGGCTGGATGGGCTGAATGACCTTCCTCTTGTTCCTAGCTATCCACAGTTTCTCTTGTGTAGAATGCAGTGATTGTTCAAAATGCAGATTATGCAAGTTATTTGTTTTGCAATCCAGTATTTGAGAACCAAATCCTTTATTGTTGTAGTTGTATCAATAGTGCAAAGAATCTGTACAATCAGGTGGGGCAGAAGACGAAGTATTTACTCCATTGTAGTCACTAAACCATCCACAGAAGATTTAAATTTCCAAGAATAAACATTCAAAGAAAAAACAAGTTTCATGCCATGGCATTATTTTGCTGCCTACACTTTCCTTTAATGGAATTTTTTTTTTGTCAGGGTCACAGCAGTGATGACTTTTATGTCCCAGAATGGAATTTTTACAGGTGATTGTTGCCTTTGTGAAACATGTCAGGCACTAACCCGAGGTTCAAAGCTGTAACCCCTTCAGTGTAATGGCACATAACGCAAATGGTGCACTGCAGTTCTCTTTCACCAAAGTAAAAACAGTGGTTGGTCACAACCTTTCTGATTATGGAAGGGGTGAATTATGTCTTATACGACCATTTTGAGAAAGACTTTGTTTACAGTTTAATTTTGGAACATCAGCTTGATTTTATTGGGATATTGTATTTGAAATTGATCACACTTTATTCCACTCTCTGCTGATTTGACTGACAGCAAGTGGCTTGGGTGGAAGTCACCCTCACAACAGAAATTTCAGACTTTTACACATTCAGCTGCTGCAGAGTTTGTGTATGTATCGACAAAGGTGAGGTAGGATCTGACTGGATTGTGATACTTGGTGTCAGGTCATGGGACGGGGATGGGGTACATCACCACCCAATTAATTGGGGCAGGGGTTGGGGGGGTGTGTCTGTTCTGTTCTTTGGGTGGGGCCTGGCTAGGATCTCAGTTCCTGCCCCTGTCTGGTGTGAATAACTTGCCGTCCAAGACTCACTGCCTGGAGGTTTACATTGTTTCTTGGCAAGGTACTGGACAGTTATTAATGCACATAACCTGCTAAATTGGACTTTTTATTTTTAGGTAAAAGGTGTGATTTCTTCCAGTTACACCCCACACTCTTTCCACCCCCACTTCCATGCCCTACGTCCATATGATATTTGTGCTAATCTGCTAAATAAAATGAGAACCGAGCTATTAAAAATTAGTCAGTGCCTATGATGTGGCCAAATACGTTGCATTCCGTGTAAACAAAATGTTTAATGGACAACTGGTTCTCTTTGACTCCTGTTTAATTCATTAGCATTGAAATTTGTAATGTGGCCTTGCAGAGTTTACTTTCACCACTCATCTGAAATCCTTGAACATGATATGTTTTGTATATATTCAGGAAATATTTTGGCAGGCAATCATATCTGTTCTGACACAATACGGATGCCAATCCATACAAGGGAAAGGAATTTCTCTATACTATATTCCTGCAATATTGATTGACCCATAGAACTGAGCAAGCATTTGTAAATCCTAAAAATGATCTAGTGATTTCACAAGTTTCAAAATCTCCCCTCCCCTACCGCAGCCCAAAACCAGTCCAGCTCGTCCCTGCCTCCCTAACCTGTTCTTCCTCCCACCTATCCCCTCCTCCCACCTCAAGCCGCACCTCCATCTCCTACCGACCAACCTCATCCCGCCCCCTTGACCTGTCCGTCCTCCCTGGACTGACCTATCCCCTTCCTAACTCCCTACCTACACTCACCTTTACTGGCTCCATCCCCGCCTCTTCGACCTGTTTGTTTCCTCTCCACCTATCCTCTCCTCTATCCCTCTTCTATCCGCCTCCCACTCTCTCCCTATTTATTTCAGAACCCCCTTCCCTTCCCCCTTTTCTGATGAAGGGTCTAGGCCCGAAACGTCAGCCTTTCTGCTCCTATGATGCTGCTTGGCCTGCTGTGTTCATCCAGCCCCGCACCTTGTTGTCTCGGATTCTCCAGCATCTGCAGTTCCTACTATCTCTAGTTGGTAATGACCTTGTATGCTTTAAAATTTGGAGACTTGCACACTAAGACCCAACAGCGCTGGGCTCCATTTGAATTTTGCATGTTGCTGGTCATCCAATGTTGCTTTAGTGTATAACTGAGAAAGTTGTTTTATCTGACATTATGACACATTTCCCCATCTGAGAGAGGGGGTGTGTTACAGGCTCGTAATTAAAAGTGCGTAGGAATTTTGATAGGATCAAGAGTTTCTTTTTCTGTCTTAAACTCAGCATCTTCACAGATCACCACCACCATTTAATTGGAAAACTATCCTTAAGAATTTCAGGACCTTTTCTTAATCTATTGCTTTTGAGGCTTGTGACATCATCAGAATAGCTGAAGGACATTAGCAGCATTAGAGAAAAATCTCTTTCCTTGGAGAACAGTGGACTAGGCACTTGGAAAAAGTAATTGATTAAATCAATCGACATTTTCTTGGGTTTTTATTGATTTTGTTTAATTACATGGGGTGATTAGGCTCGTCAATGTTAATGACATTTTTCTTCTCGTACATAACAACATGAAAATAATGTACCTTGGGGTTGACAGGCAGTATTAGTAGGTCATGCCTGCAATTATTTTCTTATGTATCAGTAATCATACATGGGCTCTGGGCAAAGCCAGCTTGATGAGCCAAGTGGTCATCCTCTGAAGGAATTATATACAGGAACATATTTATCTCAACATCAGTTGGAGAAAGCGTGACACTTTCAGTCTTCGTTGTCATAGCTAAATGAAGCGTTTTTTTTAAGGAATTAAATAAATGGTTGTAGAACATCTAGCTTTAGCACATTTTGATTTCAGAAACTGAAAGGAAATTATTGCAAAGCATCAAAATTGAAAATGGAAAAGAATCTATTTGGTGGGTCAGTGAGTTATGAAAGTTCTCAATCTCTGTTCTAATTCAGCATTTTCTTATTGATGATTTCTGCTGTACAGTGCATCATTTACATCTTATTTGTTTTAATTTCCACATTCCATATGTACCACCAATAAATGATACTATATCAAAGATACATAAAAGAATAACAACCTGGAATCAGTAAAGTGAGCTTCTTGCTTCCCCTTCAGTTCAAGTCAGTATGCTACTTAGTTATAATGTTTTCTGAAACTTTTCCAATTATTTTTATTGCCAAGGACAGAGGTGATGAAATTAACACACATTCTAGACCATCAGGTACATAGCTTGTATATTCTACCAGCCCTCTTGTCCCTGGAGACACCCTTGCCTGAAACTCCTTGATCTGATGATTCCTTTGACAAGTGGAAAATGGTTTTAGCCAATGGTGCACTGTTCCCACAGACCACCCATGGTACAAAGATACTGGCTTAATGTGAACTGTTGTCCATCAACAGAAGGTTCCTCTAAGAATATATTCTTTTAAAAATCTATTGCTAAGCATAAAAACAAAAATCAAGTGGCTGACTGATCATGTGGCACAGTGGTGAGCACTGCTGCCTCATAGTGCCAGGGACCTGGGTTCGATTCTACCCTCGGGTGACTGTGTAGAGTTTGCGCGTTCTCCCCATGTCTGCATGGGTTTCCTCCAGGTGCTCCAGTTTCCTCCCACAGTCCAAAGACGTGCAAGTTAGGTTAGGTACGTATAAGTTAGATGTACTAGCCATGGTAAATATTGGGTGGGGAATGGGTCTGTGTGTGATGGAGGGTCAGTGTGGACTTGTTGGGCCGAACAGCCTGTTTTCACACTGGAGGGACTCTCTCCCAAGGGACGTTTTGTCTAGATGTTCCAAGGATGGATCATCTTCAGCACTGCAAGCAGTTACCGTGATTCTTGTATGTTAATGTAAGATCATACTGGTTCCTATGGTGTGGTCTTGAAAGTACACCCTGTAATTTGATGCTTTCTGTACACTAATCTTCTTGCATTTTATTTGCAGTACACGAAGATTTGGATCCCTGATCCAGAGGATGTTTGGAAATCAGCAGAAATCACCAAGGATTACAAAGATGGTGATGAGCTCCTACATCTTAAACTGGAAGATGAAATGGTCAGTATGAGTTCTGAGGAAGGGTCACCGGACCCGAAACTATAACTCTGTTTTCTCCTCCACGGATGCTGCCAGACCTGCTGAGCTTTTCCAGCAACTTTGTTTTTGGTCAGTATGTGTTTGGCTTTGGAAGAAGGTGATGTTGAGGAGGCACATCTACTGTCAGTATTGTCCCTTGGGGTTTGAATGTGTACTATATTTAGGATGGCTCTTTTTTTGGGTTAGCTTCAATCTTTCAAGAGGATGCAAGATGAGCAATGTCTATAGCACATCAATACCATCTGTAAGTGACATGGGTCATGAACTAAAGCACAGCATATAGTATACAAGACCTTCCGTATTTATGTGATGAGAAACAGAAAGCACTTTGACGTATTTGGTTTGATAATATGTCCCATTATGTGGATGTATCTTGACCATTTTAAGTTTTACAAAATGTATCTGATTATTTGAAAACTGTTGTGGAACGAATATAGTCTTTAGCTTAACCATAAACTCGGAATTTGGCTGGTATAAGATGGAGAGACATCTCATCAAGGTAGGGTACAGGAAGAGAGCAGAAAAGGAAGAGACACATCTCAAACGATGTACTTTCTGATAAATACAAATTCCGGAACTCTGACATTGGTCATTGCAATGTGTTGCTTTGGACAATTACAAACTTGCTTTCAGCTTTTTCACCCAGTTGGTAGCGTTATCTTTTAATTCAGAAGTGTTCCTGTCCTGTTACATTTCTGCATTGCAAGACATTTCTGTCATATGATATTAAGTCAAAAGCCCATCTGTTGGGCCTGGTGCAATTGATGTTCTTAAAATTGTGTTGAGAACATAGATTTTGGTATTTTCCATGCTCCCCTTTCAATTTCACCAAAAACTCAGTCATCCGGTAATTCACTCTATTGATGTCTGCGGGCCCTTGTGTGCAAATTAGCAGCCCTATTTTCACTCCTTAAAATAGTGTGTGAATTATTGTTCCAGAAGAACTTTGAGACTGAGAGGCACCATGTGAATGCACATGATGTATTTCTTTACTCTAGTAGCAGCAATGACGTGAAGGCAAATGGAGTTGAAAAGGTGGATAATCTTTGACAAAAGAAAATGCTTTGAGAAGAAATTTTCCAAGTTAATTTTGTTTAAAGTTAAAATATACTTTGAAAATAATAAAGAGAAGACTGATCAGTGTGAGGAGAACATTAGTTAACCTTTCAGCTGTAACCCTTCTTCGATTTTAAAATTCAGGAAGTGTGTAGTTGAGATGCTTTAGGATGAATATAAATTTAGTCAAGACCATTGGGAGAAGAGGACTGTGTACTTGATGAAGACATTAAGTAGTGCCGAATCTGCGGCCACCTTGGGGAAAGGACAGAAGCATAATGTAAATGAATGTCTAATGTGAGGACTTCCCAAAGGGAGGACCCTAAGTAGGATTTGCGATTTCCGAGACAGTAATCTACAGTAATACACCGTTTCTGTTGGTAATTCCCTTGGTATTTTCACCAAGTCCTTCTCTGCATTCCAACTCCTGATATACAGCTATTACTGGAATATTTTTTGTATTCTCTACCGTGAAGATTAAAAACCAGAACATTTGTTCATTTCATCTATCATTTTCCTATTATCTACTGTTAACTCCCCATTCACACTTTGTGCAGGACAACTCTTCAATTTACTTGCCTTTTTGATTTTTAAATATCTGTAGAAAGTCTTAACTGTTTTACATTCCCAGTCAGTTTTCTCTCGTACTCTTAATTCTTCCTCATTGTTAACATTTTAGACATTCTCTGCCATTCTTATTCTGACTAACCATTTGATTGACATTTCTTTACACAGGCATATGCTTTTCCTTCATGACCCTTCTTCAGAATGCATGATTGTTGCTCATTTGAGATCAAGAAACATTTTAATTGCACAACGCAACTTTCACCTTTGACTGTAGAAACACGTTTGATCCTGACAAATGCTGGGTATCAGAAACCGTGAAGAGTATATTGAATACACTAGGCAAGGCTACGATACAAGGCAGGACTACACAAATTTAATGATTATAATTTCCATTCATTTACAATGCATGGGTGAGGTGGTTAGATCACATCAGTTGATCATACAAATACACCATTGCACTTTTTACATTCTCCGAAGTCCACACTGATAAGCTGGTCTTGCAACTCCTTGTAGAACAACGTTACTGTGAAATATCTAGGTAATGTGACCACTGACACTGTATGGATGATGTGATTTTAGATTTGCTGCCAAGTATTTTTTTATTTTCATGAAAAGTAGACTGATGCACACTTGAGTGAAATAAGGGCTGTTTTAAATTAAGAAATCCGATTATTTTAAGAAGACCATAATTTGTTAGTGAGATTCTAACAATCCTATATTGTTCCACATTGTATCACAGTAATAAATTATGCAAACCTTGACCTTTTAGAAACAACTTTTGAAACTGTTGAAATTACTTGAGCAGACAGAGGAAGAGAATAATTTTGTCTGTGAAATCTTCATTTCTCCCTCAGCTGTCTATGCTGAGTATTGGCTGTCTGAATTCATTTTGAAAGTGCAGCTTCTCCTCCTGTCTTTTCCCACTGATTCAGTCATGATCCTGGCTACTGATGTTTAATCTGGGTGGTGCTTGGTGCCCTTAAAAGCCTCGGTTACATTCAATTTAGTGATGAAGAAGATATGGGTGATGGTGAGGTAAGGATGGATGAGTGCAATATTGTTGAGTTATCACAGAATCCCTACAGTGTGGAAACAGGTCCTTCGGCCCAACAAGTTCACACCAACCCTCAGATATCCCACCCAGACCCGTCCCCCTGTAACCCACCTATTTTACACATCCCTGATCATTCTGGAAAATTTAGCATGGCCAATCCACCTAGCATGCACATCTTTGGACTGTGGGAGGAAACTGGAGCACCTGGAGGAAACCCACGCAGACACCTGACGGTGGAATCGAACCCAGGTTCCTGGCGCTGTAAGGCAGCAATGCTAACCACTGTGCCACCTACTAGTATTAGGTGATTTTGGTACAGTATAAAATTCAGAATTTGAAACTCGAGTCACATGGGTGAAGCACTTGTGCATCTTTTGAGTGTGCAGCCAGGGAAGGGGAATAGAAAGAATCTAGGATTTAGAAGTTTTGGCAGAAGCTGAAAAAGATGACTTTCATTTTGCCCAAACTGCGCAAGCTTCCAGTTTACCTCGAACTTGATTTTGGAGAAACCAGCACTCAGCATTATGTTGTGTGAGATGTTGAGGATGGGTAGTGGAGGAATAGAATTGGTCAAGAGACAAGAATGTCTATTTTGCTCAATAGGTTTCTGCAATGCACAATTTACAAATACTGTTAGTTTCAATGTTTATTCCTTCCTGTAAAGTAGTACACATCAGAAAATGTGTAATTCTGGGGAGAAAAAAGTCCTTTCCAAATGAGGTATCAAAAATCACCATTTTCAGGGAGAGAATACCCCAACAATCGCTTGGAAAATTTCCACATGTTAGTTTGCAAATGACACCAAAATTGGTGGTGTAATGGATGGCGAAGACGATTACCTCAGAGTACAAAGGGACCTTGATCAGATCGGCCAATTGGCCAAGGAGTGGTGGATGGAGTGTAATTTAGATAAATGAGGTGCTGCATTTTGTTAGGGCAAATCAGAGTAGGACTTGTACACTTAATGGTAAGGTCCTGGGAGTGTTGCTGAACAAAGATCTTGGAATGTAGGTTCATAGTTCCTTGAATGTGGAGTCACAGGTAGATAGGATAGTGAAGGTGGTGTTTGGTATGCTTGCCTTTATTGGTCAGTGCATTGAGTATAGGAGTTGAGATGCCATGTTGCAGCTGTACAGGACATTCGTTAGGCCACTATTGGAATACTGCATTCAGTTTTGGTCTCCCTGCTATAGGAAGGATGTTGTGAAACTTGAAAGGATTTACAAGGACGTTGTCAGGGTTGGAGGGTTTGAGCTGTAGGGAGAGGCTGAATAGGCTGGGGCTATTTTCCTTTGAGTATCAGAGGCTGAGGGGTGACCTTTATAAGGTCAAATCTAGGTTCCCAGAAGATTTAACTGAGTCTCTGAATTAATAGTCTAGCGATGATGCCACTAAGCCAGTGCCTCCCCTTCAGTGCTATTATTTTTCATGTTGTCCTGCTGGCTGTGAAGTCTTTTTATTGAATTTGTATTTTGTTCCTTTTGGTTTTCTGTTTTATTTCTGCAGCCATTTGAGTATTCCATCGACTCAAATGCAGAGCGGTTACCTTTCCTGCGCAATCCAGATATACTGGTTGGCGAGAATGACCTGACAGCTCTCAGTTACCTTCATGAACCTGCAGTACTCCATAACCTAAAGGTCCGATTTCTGGAGTCCAATGCCATATATACGTATTGTGGTGAGTAGAACAACAGTGACATGCAAGAAGCAGGTTGACTCTCCTGTTGGGGCAAGTATGCTTGATGGTGGGGGTCGTGGACCACTGATATGGGAAAGAGAAGTGAAATGTTAGTTCAAGATGTCACGTTGTTGATGTATGAATTTAGTTGTCATTGTCTGAGGACAGGCAGAGGAGTTGTGTACAAGTAAGTTGTTTTTCACCACCCACAATGACTCACTTATGGCTCATAATTAGCGGATTCATTAATTATGAGCCATTGCTAACCAAAGATCACAAATTTTTATCTGCTGTCTGCTGAATCGGCTTAACTCTGCAAGTGTGGTATCAGAGCTTTGCACTTGGTTGTTGGTCTGAAATGAAAAACATTAGCATTTCAACTTGAAATTGCAGTCAAATGATTTTAAGTGGGCTGGTGTTAATTGTAGGTTAGAGGACCCCTGCTTTGTCCTTGCTATTACTTCTTCATTCCTATTCACTGTCAGTATTCATCATGTATCATCATGGTTATGTTCCTGGACCAGTAATCCATACACTTGAATTAATAATCTGGAAAACAATATCAAATCCCATTTTCTTCCTGAAGAAGGGTCTAGGTCCGAAACGTCAGCCTTCCTGTTCCTCTGCTGCTTTGCCTGCTGTGTTCATCCAGCTCTACACCTTGTTATCTCAAATCCCACAATGACAGTTTTGAGAAACTCATGAAATCTTGACTTGTCATGGAAGCCCAAATGTTTCCTTAATATTCTTTCATAGGAACGAAGCATGCCATCCTTACTGCTGAATCTTGTGTTGATTTTTGGATTTTGTTTTGATACCAGCAAGTTAAAGGTTAAAAAGCCATATTCCTGCCCCCCCTCGGTGTTGTATCTGAGCAAAGGGGACATGAAGCCTTGTTTTGAGTTTTGGAGAACTCCTGCTCAAAGCTCTGTGGATGTGAACAAAACAACTCAGTATAACAAGAGGCACTATCATCTCCTGCATTCATCATCACTAATCCATGACTAACCAGAATGTATTTAGCAGGTCTTGGTGTTCATTCAGAGATTTACTTGTATCCTTTCTCTTGCTTGTGTGGAAGTCAGCTGACTGCTCATTTTAAAACCGATGTTCTCACTTGAGTGAACTGGCTTGATGTCATTGAGCCTTTTGAATTAGATGTCCGAGCAAAAATAAAATGTATCTGAGAAAATGACATTGAATGGATCTTGCCAGTGCTGTGCAATAATTTTTAACAACAAACTCGAGAGTCTGTGCAATAAAAATGAGACTTCTTTTTAAAACCAGTTAAGAAATTTACAATCCATGCTTTTTTTCTTCTTTTAGGAAAGATAGATTAATTTGAGCCATTCAAAATATGGATGCCATCATTGGAAATAAAACCATTATGTCTACACCTCCAACCTTTGTCTATTTAGAATCTTCTAGCCACAGCCAGAGGTGTTTGATTTTGCTCATTGGTCTTGATGAAATTTGAATGCAGACTGTGGAGGTGGAATTACAATGCACTTGTTCTTTGGATGTGTTATAGTGACCTTCTGTGTTTCCAGGTATTGTCCTAGTTGCTATCAATCCTTATGAACAGTTGCCAATTTATGGAGAAGATGTCATTCATGCATATAGTGGACAGAACATGGGGGACATGGATCCTCATATCTTTGCAGTCGCTGAGGAAGCCTACAAACAAATGGCAAGGTGGGTATATTTGTGCAAGTTGATCTTTCTTACCTAGTATTGTAAGGAAAAGAATTTTGTCTTTACATATTTTTTTAATATGCATGTAAACAGCACATAACACATCTCACATATGTTCATGTTATCAAACTGCTCTTTTGCTCATGTGATGCAGGTGATCTGCAATTAAAAATTGAGTACATCGTTGGAAATGACGAACAAACAGAAAAAGATGAGACTTACCTTTATGCCTGAAATGTTAGAATACTGGGGCAGTTTCCATTCAATTGAAAACTTGATGGGTCTCATTTAAGGCTATCGCCCAGATATGTTTTAGGTAGTCTCTTGGGATAAAGGATGACTTGTGTCCAATCCAGTTCAATGGATGTTAAATTCGAAGTATGATCTATAGCCTCAGCAATGTGGCAGTACTTGAAAGGTCGTTTGCAGGTTTGTGCACTTTTTCTGATGCCTCAACTTCGCCTCTGCACTTTCTCAAGAAAGGCTGTCAATGTTTGCTGTCTAATGATTGAACGTTCTCCATCTTGGACTATTTTAGTTGGTCACAAATCCTGATCTCCAATGAGTTAGGGAATATATCGGACATCTTCAAGATTGCTTTAAGGATATTCCTAGAGTATTTCTGCTGGCTTCCTGTTGTCTCTTGCTGCAGCTAAGTTCAATGTACAACAGTTACTTAAAAAAGCATGGTAAGAACCTGTCTTGCCCTTTGGAGCTGGTTTAGTCTGATTTAGCAGCTCAGTGCTGGGCATGATGGCTTGAGAGATGACACTGTTGTTAGACTGCATTTCTTGCCAATGAATTTTGAGATCTTGTTAATGCACTGCTGGTGGTACTTAGCCAGTGCTTTTGAGGTGCCTGTTGCCATTGTCCAAGTCTCTGAAGCATATTGGAGAATGGGGTTCATTGCTGCCTCGTAAACCATGATCTTAGTCTTGGGTCTGAGATCCTGGACCTCAAATATGCTTTTACTCAGTTGGCCGCATTTCATTGACTATGCCTTTGTTGAAAGGAAGCTCCCAGGATATAGGTGATGATCCACCTTTTCCAAGGTATGGTTGTTATAATAGATGAAAGAGATATTATGCTAGTTGCCAAACAGCTATGCCCAGTAATAACATCTGTACTGTGCTAACAATTGGAGTTTCATTGTGGTGGTATGTGGGTAAAGCAAGAAAATATGTGCTTCCTGTTGTAGTTTTTATTTTATTTCCATCTACAAACCCTGTCAGAGAAGATAAAAGCTGGCAGTCTAGAGGAGAGGCCGGCATATGTAGAGTGAACTTGTGTGAGAAGGGCAGTGGGTGGGGAAATAAAACAGGCAGCAGAGAGCCCCTTCAACCTATTTCTACCTGTTAGAGCTCAAGTATGATGTGACAGGAAAACGGGTGATTTGTGAGTATTTCTTCCCTGTCTCTGATGTGCTAAATGGTTTTAATCAGATTTTATTACAACTGAAGAGTACAAATTAGCAATTCACTTTTAGAAATATTTAACATCCAAGCTAATTAAATGGAATTGAACTGGTTGGATGGCTGATGTTTTGCAGCTTTACTATGTGAAAGCTGGGCGACACTTGGTGTGATCAACAGTGACCACATCTGCAGCAACTGTTGGCTGCTCGAGGAACTTTAATCAGTTGACAAGCTGAAGTGTGAGCTGCAGACAATGTGATGCATTAGAGACGTTTTGGGACACACTTTTTCAGGTGGCAGTCACACTCCTTTTGATGTAATTAATCTAAGCGGTCAGGGTAGGAGGGATGGACTGAGGGAGGCAAGTATGGGAGTCCAGAATGTAGCTTTGGGGAGCCTCAGCCAAGCCTTTATCTGATAGGTACACAACTCTTGCTTCACATGTGGGCAGGAACACAGACCGCAGGGGACGAGCAAACTGACCACAGTATTATGGTGCAGAGTGTCACTCAAGTTGGGAGGGGGTGGTGGTGGTGGTGGGAAGAAAAGTGACAACTACTAGAAATAGGGGAATAGCATAGTTAGGAAAATAAACATTTTTGTGTAGCCAGGATAGAGATTCCTGAGTTTTTTTTTTATGTTGCCTACCTCAAACCCAGGTTAAAGACCTCTCTTTTGGGCTGAAGAGGAACTTGGTATGGGAAGTTAAGGGTCCAGTGTATGGCCCATCTAGGTTCTAATGACGTCGATAAGATGAGGAAAAAAATTCTGTTCAGGGATTGAGCAGTTTAAGGCTGAATTAAAAAGCAGAACCATTTCCAAGGGATTTAAAGGAAGTGGCTGTCAAGATAATGGAGGCAATGGTCGTGATATTCCAGAACTTAGTAGATTATAGGAGGATTCTAGCAGATTGGAAAACCACTGATGTGACAGAATTAATGGATCTTTTTCAGGTTGGAAAGACATAACTAATGGAATGTATGCCACAAGGATCAGTCCTAGGGCCTCTTTAGTCACACTCTATTTTAATGGCTTGGCGGAAGGAGCAGTTGTAATGTATCCAAATTAGCTGGTGATACAAAAACAAGTGGGAGGGTATATTGTGATGAGAACAAAATAATCTGCAAGGGGATATAAATTGATTGAGTCGGTGGCAAAATCTTGGCAGATGGTGTTTTACTTGATGTTAGTGATGTGTGAGGTTATACACTTCTAGGAAGCATCAAAAAGGAGACTATTATTCAAGTGGGGAGAGAGAGCGGAGTGTTCTTGTGGATGAAACGTAAACGACTAGCACATGGATACAGCAAGGCTAGCAAGTGGAATTTTGGTCTTTTATTGCAGAAGATCTTTGGGATGGTTGACTCTGGAGATTGGCCAATATCCTTGGATGATGCAGAACTTCGATCGCAAAGCCCCTGACTGGATCAGAAGCTTGCTGGATAGCACTTGTGTACTTGATCTGTTGAGCTCTTTTGCTCTGAGGGGCAGGGAGTTAATTCTCCTGACATTGCCTGCCTCAGAACTTAGTGCACTGACAGGACAAAGCAGTCCACTTGACTGGCACCCAAATGTTCATTCCCTTCACCACAGATACTCAGTAGCAGCAGTGTGTACCATCTACAAGATGCACTGTAGAAATTCACCAGATGACTTGGATAGCATTAATTCAAATGCATGATCCCTACCAGCTAGAAGGACGATCGGATACAGGGGAATACCACCACCTCCAAGTTTCTCTCCAAAGCATTCACCGTCCTGACTTGGGAATATGTTTCTGTTCTTTTACTATTGCTGGTTCAAAATCCTGCAGTTTCCTCCTTGACAGTATTATGGGATACCAAAATCAAATAGCCTGCTTCTTCACCACCACCTTAAGGGCACCCTGGGATTGGTAATAAACGCTGGCACAGCCAGCAATGCCCACATCCAAAAGAATGGTACAGCGCAGGAACAGGCTGTTTGGTACCAAGCCTGTGCTGACACATGATGCCTTTCTAAACTTAAAACCTTTTGCCTCTTCACAGTCCATATCCCTAAATTCCCTGTCCATTCACGCATTTGTCAAGACTCCTCTTAAACATTGCTTGGAGACAGCAAGAACTGCAGGTGCTGGGGTCACAGTCAATATAGTGTGGAGCTGGAGGAACACAGCAGGTCAGGCAGCATCAGAGGAGCAGAAGGCCTGGAACCTTTTCAGGACTGGGGAAGGGAAAAGGAACTGAGAAATAAATAGAGGGAGGAGGGGTGGGCCGGGGGGAACATAGCAGTAGGGGGTAGTGGGGATTGGTCACTGGGAATGGTGGGGCAGATAGGTGGAAGAGAAGATGGACAGGTTGTGTCAGGTCATGGAGGCAGGGATGAGAGGAAGGGTTGGACATGGGATGAGGCTGAGGATGGGGGATTTAGAATTCACAAGTTTCAATGTTGAGGCCATCGGGCTGTAGGCTCCCGAGGTGGAACGTGAGGTGTTGTTCCTCCAGTTTGTGGGTGGTGTCATTGTGGCACTGGAGGAGTCCCAGGATGGACATATCACCAAGCGAGTGGGAGGGGGAGTTAAAATGGTTAGTGACTGGGAGGTGGTGTTGATTATAGTGTGTGGAGCGCAGGTGCTCTGCAAATCTGTCACTGAGTCTACGCTTGGTCTCACCGATTGTAGAGGAAGACCCCGTTGGGAGCAAAGGATCCTTTTGACCAGGCTGGAGGATATACGGGTGATCACCTGTCGGATATGGAAAGATTGTTTGGGCCTTGGGGGGAGGTGTAGGAGCAGGTTTAGCACCTCCTGTGGTTGCAGGGGAAAGGTGCCGGGTGGGGAGTGTGGAGTGGATAAGGGAGCCGCAGAGTGAGTCGTCCCTATCAAAGGCAGACAGGGATGTAGAGGGAAATGTCTCTTTGGTGGTGGGGTTGGTTTGTAGGTGGTGGAAGTGGTGGAGCTTGATGTGCTGGATGTGGAGGTTGGTGGGGTGGAATGGGAGGACCAGGGGGATTCTGTACTTATTTTTGTAGGGTGGAGGAGGTTTGAGGGCAGAAGTGTTTGAAATGCAAGAGATGTGGTTGAGGGCATTTTCGAACAATGGAGGGGGAGATATTGCTGTTCTTGAAGTAGGAGGATAGCTGGGAGTGGAACACCCCAACTTGGGAGCTAATGTGGAAGAATTGGGAATCAGGGATTGATTTCTTGCAGGAGGGTGACTAATTTGCAGAGCACCTGTACTCTAGTCACCCCACCCTGTATCTGCTTCTACCAGCTCCTCTGGCAGTGTGTTCCAGGCACTTATCACCTTCCCTGTTTGGTTTAAAAAAAAACTTGCCTCTCACCTCTTCTTTGTAGATTCCCCTTTATCCCCCTTACCTTTCTACCCTGGGATAATGCATTCTATGCATGCCTCTTATAATTTTGTAAATTTCTATCAGGTCGTCCCTCAGCTTTTGACGTTGAAGTGAAAATCTGAATTTTTTTAAAAAGCACGAAATTCTATACTTTTTATTCTGTCTTGTAAATTTTCTGCCTCAATTGCAAACTAAAAATTGTCCTTGGTTATTAAGGTTCCAGTTATTTCCCCCCTTTTGCTGCAACTCATT